GTCACAGCTGCACATCCTTCTAGTTGCTGTATGTGGGACACGGCCTCAGCATGGCCGGAGAAGCAGCGCGTCGGTGCGAGCCCGGGATCCGAACCCGGGTCGCCAGCAGTGGAGCGCGCTCACTTAACCACCAAGCCACGGGGCCGGCCCCTCCACTCTTAAAATATTTTTTACTGGAGGATTTTCCCCATTTAAACTTAACGTACTTATTGATGTACTTGAGTTTAATTCTAGCACCTTACTCTTTTCTACTTGTTCCGTTTGTTCTTTGTCCTCTCTCTTTCCTCCATCTCTTAGAGAAATCAGTGTTGTATTTGAACAAGCCCCATCGAGCCTGTCAGTCATACCTGTACTTAGGGTCACTATGGTGCTTAGCGGAGGTCACCCTGTGCCCTCGTGGGCAGGGTCCACTTTCAGCCAGCACGCGACGTGTCCCAGGTATCATCGTTACTGTGACTGTTACTGCTGCCGCTGGACCCATTCCCTTCGCTCACACGTACCCAGTTTGACCCTTTCCATTCCTGTATTTCTCTGCTTTCACCTGGGATCATTCTCCTTCTGTCTGAGGAACTACTGTTTGTATTTTTTTAGTATGTCTGCTGGAAAAAAATTCTCTCAGCTTTTGTTTGAATGAAAACATCTTTATTTTGTTTTCCTTTTGAAAGGTATTTTCGGGGTCTGAGGGCGTCGTGGTGCTGCGGCCGCCTGAGCTTGGGGGTGAGTGACCCACTCCAGGCTGTATCCAGGCTCCATCAGAGCGTGGCCTCACTGTGCCCTCCGCCCATACCTGCCGCAGAGGAGGGAGGAAGGCTTGAGCCCAGGAGTCCACCTCTCCTTTATGTCTTCAGATGTCGTACTGAAATGTGTGCTTCTGCAGGAACTGTGCTGTGCAGGGGCTCAGGGCAAGTGCTCTTAGAGCCTCTGCCTGAGGTGCTCAGTGTGTGCAGAGCACAGCCCCAGTGTGTGCAGGGAGCAGGCCCCTTGTGTGCAGGGAGCAGCCCCAGTGTATGCAGGAAACAGGCCCCACCTGTGCAGGTAACAGCCCCAGTGTGTGCAGGGAGCAGCCCCAGTGTGTGTGGGGAAGAGCCCCAGTGTGTGCAGGGAGCAGCCCCAGTGTGTACGGGGAGCAGGCCCCAGCGTGTGTGGGGAGCAGGCCCCCAGTGTGTGCGGGGAGCAGGCTCAGTGTGTGCGGGGAGCAGCCCAGTGCGTACAGGGACAGGGACTTCTCCCTTTGCCAGGCACAACTAGTGCTGCAGCAGGCATGGAGTGTTCTTTGGCCTTTGTCCTTGGGAGGGTGTGGCTGTGAGCTCCTGTTCTAAACAGAGCTGTGGGCGGGGCCTGTAACTGCAAAGTGGTGCTGGCTGCCTGGGGAAAGATTGGTCAGAGCAAGAGGGACCCGGCAGAAGGGGCTGTGGCGTTGGCCGATGGACGGGTGCCGGGCTGGTCATCCCTCTGGGAGCTCAAGGTTTCTGCTCCTTGGTGCTGACGGTCCTGTTGTTCTCGGGACTCACCCTCTCGTCCCTTTAGGCCTTGGGAATGGTGGTGTTGGCTCACGCTGTGGCTGCCCCGCTGGTTCCACATTCATTCATCTGCTAAAAGTGGCTTCCGTGCACACATACGACCTTTCAGACCCTCTGTTGGACTGGACGTGCAAGAGCAGTTTCTCTCTGTGAGCGCCTGAAGAAACACTTACGTGTGAGGCTGTGCAGAGAAATTCATGTTCTTTTTTGACCTTTAGTTTTGCCTTATTTAAATCTGTGTAAAGTTCTCCACTTACCAAGAATGCCAGACTTGAAATCAGGTCCTGTCTATGATTGCTCTCCCAGAAGCAAGAAGGTGCGAGTGGACACGTTCCCACTCCCCATGGTGCAGCGGACGCCCGGAACCATCCACACCCTTTCTCAAAACCCATTGAAGGTCTGTGGGTACCCTCATGCTTTGGTCTGTTTGGACTCGCAGGAATGTCCAGAATCTTCTGAAGGTGTTTTATCTGCCACTGGTCTTTTTGTTTATGCCCCTCTTCTGGGCCCGGTACTCAGAGTCGGTGTTCGGTGAGCAGAAGTGCCACCTACTAGAACATGGCAGGGACCAGGCCTTGGGCAGAGAGGCCTGGGCCAATGGAACAGATGTGCTCATGCCCGGACACCTTGCTCAGCGCCCCCAGGGCTTCAGACAGGTCTCATCCCCACTGACTTTTACATTATTCCAGCAAGTTCAGTGGTCTGGTGTCCCTGTGCCAAGAAGATTGGGAGAGGCTGGTTAGCAAAAAGGAGAGGCTGCTGGGAAGGATACAGGCCCACTGGCCAGGCTGTACAGAAGACTTTCTGAAGCCACCAGAAGATCCCCAGATGCCCATTAGTTGGGGGACCCACTGTGGGCCAGATCCCAAGGGTATTAGCAGGCTCTGGCCCAGGATGGGGCAGGAGGGGAGAGTGGACGCCTTGTCAGGGAAGCACGTAATTCAGATTGTCACTGCTCAGAGGGGGAGCTTGAGTTGTCTAGACAATGCCATGGAATGCTTCCTAGCAGAGCCGGTGAACATTGGAGCTAGGGCCCTGAAATTGTCGTTTCAAGGAGAGCAATCATTTTAACTTAGTTAAAAGTTGAATTCCCATCTCCTTTTTAAAATATACACACTTTCCTCATCATTTTATTATGAAAAATCTCAGGCACCTGGCAAAATTGAAAGAACTATGCAGGGACCACCACACCCCGCAGAGTTGGTTGGCCACACCCGGGGAATCCTTGCTCACCTGTTTCTCGCCCCCTCCCCTCCCTGCCATCCACCCCTCAGCCAGCTTCTTTTTTGGCACATTTCAAAGTAAGTTGCAGACATCTGCCCGCTCCCCCCCAAGCCTGTCAGAGGCAGATCATTAACTGACTAGATTTCAATATTCGTTTATGGCTCTTTTCTCCTTTTGAGGTACAGTTGGCATAGGACGGAATGCCCGAGTCTCACTCGTACCAGTCGGTGAGTTCAGACAGATGTGTGCGTCTGTGCAGCAGGTGTCCCATGAGGGTACAAGGCAATGCCATCACTGTGGCAGCGTCCCTGTGCCCCTTATGGTCAGGCCACCCACCCCAAAGGCACCCACTGTTCCAGTGATGCCAGTGGATTAGTTTTGCTTGTTTGGAACGTGCTATAAGGGAAGCATGCAGTGTGTACTCTTTTCTGGTCGCGTGCGTTTGCAATCCATCCATGTGGTGTGTGAGGAGCGCTCCGTGTCGAGACACGTGACCCATCAGGCTGGCGAGTAAATGCCCGAGTGGGAAAGCTGGTCAGAGGGTAGGTGTGCGTTTGGTTTTATGAGAAACTTGCAGTCTTTTCCCAGCCTGGCTGTTGTACATGCGACCGCCGGCAGAGGGTGTGAGCTGGGCCCATCCACGTCCTCGCCGGCGTTTGGTGCTGTGGAGGTATTGCTTTAGTTCGCCTTTCCGTGACAGCTAACAAGGGTGAGTTCTTTTTCATGTGCTTATGGCTCTTTGCTTCTCATCGTGAAGCATCTGTTCCAACTTTTGCCCATTTTTTGGCCTTTATTTTATCATTATTATTATTATTATTTTTTAAATAGACTTCATTTTTTAGAGCAGTTTTCGGTTTACAGAAAAATTGTGCAGAGTTCCATGTGCCCCACCACTCCCCACAGAGTCCCTATTAACACTTGGCATTGGTGTGCTGTCTGTTACCATTGATGGACCAGTACCAATATGTTATTATTAGCTGAAGTCCACAGTTGACATGAGGGCTGACTCTTGGTGGTGTAGGTGCCATGAGTGTGACCAGGGGACAAGGCCACGTGTCCGTGTGGTCTCATGTAGAGTATTTCCACGGCCCTGAAAATGCCCTGTGCTCCGCCTGTTCATCCTCCCCCACCCTACCCCTGACACCCATGGATCCTTTCCGTCTCCGTGGCTGGGCCTTTTCCAGAGTGTCATAGAGTTGGAATCACCCAGTGCGGAGCCTCTTGGTGTTGTTCGTTTTTTCTGTTGTCTGTCTGATGTCATGGTTTCCGTTCATTTATGTAGTGTGGCCTTCATTTCCTCTGACTTGACTTTCTTTTCTTTGTAGTCCTTCTCACTGGTTTGTCAGTCGGCCCTGCAGTGTGCTCTGTCTTCCTGTGGCTACACTCGCTGTGAGGGGCATGCCTTCAGAGACTGGGAAACTAGGTGCCTCTTATTCAGTGCCCTTGGAAGCATGTTTCGATGCCTGTGATCTCGTGTGAGGCTGTGGGATCAGGGACTTCCTTTCTCCTTGAAGTGTTGGGTCCCGGATTTTCCTTGGGACATCTGGTCTAGGTGCTGATTCAGCACCATCGGGATTCCTTTCTTTCTTACTTCTCAAAGCCCACAGCAGACCCATAAATGATACGAATTTTCACTTCCTTTGACAAGTCTACTCAGAGGCTCATATTTTATATTTTTGTGTATGTGTCTGGTGGAGTTTGGAATCACTTAGGACATATTCTGGTCACTATTTAATCATCTGCTGAGAGCGAGGACAGGTCCCATGCCACAGTGCCCACAGCTGTCCCCTTGAGCGCCAGCACCGTGGCAGTGCCTCCTCCCCATCAAGGATAGCCTAGTGTTCCTGTGTCTCCTCCAGGACCATGAGTCCTGAGGCAGAGGACACTGCCTGGCAGGCGCTCGTGGAATGGAGTGAGTGTTGTCATGCACTTCCGGGCTGTGCCAGGGGCAGATGACCCCTCGGTGCAGTGGACACCTGATTGGGCAGGGCCCACGCAGGGTGCGGGAGCCGCTCTGTGAAGGCAGTGTGCACTCTGAGGACCGTGTGGAAGGCCCCGCCCGCTGCTGTGCTCCCCTCGTCCTGGTCATGGTTCACAGGGTCTCCCAGAAGGTTCTGGTCAGCCCTGATGCTGCCGCCTCACTGTTCATTTGTGACCCCATGCTGAGCTTAGATTGACAGCAAGGTCCTGTTGCCAGCCTGTCAGGTAGCCGGAGCCCGTGGGCCTGGTGCGCATGCTCCTTGACTCCTCTCGCAGACATGCTCCTCGACCTCAGCGACCTGCTCCAGGTAGACCCATTTCCTTCCTGAGTCCCTCCCTGAGGAGGCTCTGATTGGGGCACGCGCCGCACACCACACTGCTCATGCTCCGGCCCCAGGGGGGAGGGTCCACAGGCTAAGGACACACAAGAGCATGGTCTCTGTTTTTTTTTTGTTTTTTTTTTTTTTTCCCCCCAAAGCCCCAGCAGATAGTTGTATGTCATAGCTGCACATCCTTCTAGTTGCTGTATGTGGGACGCGGCCTCAGCATGGCCGGAGAAGCGGTGCGTCGGTGCACGCCCGGGATCCGAACCCGGGCCGCCAGCAGCGGAGCGCGTGCACTTAACCGCTAAGCCACCGGGCTGGCCCCATGGTCTCTGTTTTAAAACTGGCAAACCAAGCTGGTGGGGAGGCACTGGACACAGGGTCACAGTGCTGTCCTGGGGCCCGGCAGCCCCAGCCTCAGAACCAGTGGAGAGACCCAGGTGAGCTTCGTCTGAGGCAAAAGAGAGTCTTTATTTTTTTGTTATTATTTTTTTTGTGAGGAAGATCAGCCCTGAGCTAACATCCATGCTAATCCTCTTCTTTTTGCTGAGGAAGACCAGCTCTGAGATAACATCTGTTGCCAAGAGGAGAGTCTTTAAAAGACAAAAAAAACAGGACTCACATGCATACATTTTAACAATATGAAAATTTATATTTACAGTCTATTTAAAGAAACTTGCTTTCTGGGTGCCAGGAAAGTATTTTTCTGTTGCATCTCATTTCCAGATGACTGCATGTAATGGAAAGACCCAATGAGAGGGACCCCTGTGTGAATGGGACATCACAGGGGTAGGGGGTAGTGCCAGGGTGGGGCCAGAGAGGTTCTGTGTGTGTCCCTGGTGACAGTGCTGGGGCAGGCCTGGCCCCATGCCCTGGGTTAGGGCCCACAGTGATCGCTCCACTGAGGACTCGGAAAGAGAAGGAATGTCATTGAAAACCGATGTGACTACAGTGTGAGGATTCATGCAGAATTCACACAAAGTCCACCCCTATGAGGAAAATGTCGTCCAGACCCAGGCACCCACAGAGGGCCCTGTGACCCTGGGTGCCGCACTGCCCCTGGTGCTGGGGGCTTCAGTGCCCTCTGGTGCCAACCAACAGGTAGACTTTCATTTTAATCGGATGCTGCCTGTATTTTGTCCTCCTGGCTGGCTTTATAAATGGCCTCTCTCAGAAGTCCTACTGAAATACTCTGCAGTCAAGCTAGAAATAATCCGTTGGAATTGTGAAAATCCAGCACCCCGTGTGCCGAGCTCAGTTCAGGGCAAGGCCAGACGGCCTCGTTTCCCTCCCGGTGACTTCCCAGGAAGGACAGGAGTGAGGGCCTGAGCAGGGCGGCCCCTCCAGAAGTTCTTGGAAGGGAGACCAAGGTCTTCTCCTAGCTTCTCACTGCACACCTTTGGAAATGGGAAACCAGTCAGGGTCCAGGTGGAAGAGGGGGACTGGAGTGGATGTTCCCGCTCCCCTGGGGCTAAACCAGGGCCCAGGGGAAAGTCACTGTGCTGACCAGTGAGACCCCGTAAGTTCAGGCTGGACCCACACAGACAATTTGCTTTGACCTTTTAATGCCGCAGGAGAAGGGCTGTGCCTCGGGCCTCCTGGGCCTGGGCAGAGTCCTGCCCTCGTGCTGGGCGTGAGGTGGCCTGGAGCTGGGGACTGGGCAAGGCCAGCCATTGCCCCCGCCCTAGAGGAGCCCATGGCATGCTCCTTTCCTCTGGCGTGGACTCCCCGGGCCGGGCCTTCACAGGACAGATGTTGTGCACTTGTCTGTGGACGTGGAGCGTGCCGTGTTGGATGAGGGCCTCACAGGGGACTCGCACTGCCAAGGGAAGGGCTGACCGGTTAGAGGAAACGAGGGAAAGACTTAAAATTAGAAGAGACCACCCAGGTTTAGGGTCTCATTTTGTTCTTATTCATACACACACCAGGTTAAGCTTCTTCCCGGGGTTGAGCTCACAATGAATGCAGAGCCATGGGGGCCCCTGGTGCCCCCTGCACCCTGAGGGTCCTGGTAGAAGGCCCCTTTGTCCCCCTTATGGTGTGGCTGACACAGAGGTGCTCACTTACCTGGGGGCACAGCCCCCCAGAAGTGGAGCCAGGAGCCCCCACAGGCCGTCTGCATTGGACAGAGGAGTTGGGGGGTTGGCAGGCCACACCTAGCCATGACCAGCCGCCTTCACGGAGAGTCACCCTTAAACTAAGTGTCTGTGTCACGATTCCTAATAAAGACTAACGAATGTTAGCATCTCTGGCAATAACTATGTGCATTTTATATGCATAGCCTTTTTCAAATTTGATTTTCCATTTGAAGTCCATTTGGAGAGCCCTTTTCTGCAGCATTCAGATCTTCACCCTTCTGGGACACGGTTAGGTGGTGGGAGGTGAAGGGGGCAGGCAGGGTGGGACGTGCTGCAGGAGGAAGGAAGAAGCTCCTTGGGCGGCAGATCCGTTCATCTGCCCTGGTCTGAACAAAGGCAGGCAGTCAAGGGGTCAAGAGGCTGGAGCCTGGTGGGAACCCAGCAGAGGGCTGGGGTACTCCTAGGAAGATGCACACGCACACTTTGGTGGGCAGGCCCTATGATGGGGCTTCTCCTGGAGCTTTCAGGGGTGTCTTGGAGGAGGAGGGAGGGAATGACTGTGGCCCACCTGGTGGAGGGTGCTCGCTGCTGCCTGCATGTGGAGGCTCAGCTCCTGCTGGGCAGGCCCCCAGCTGACTGGTGCCCCACAGGTACCCTCCATCTCTTCCTCTAAGGGGTACTTGCTTTGCACCATTCCTTAGCACCCTGGTCCCGACGGCAGCAGGCACCGTGTGTGCCACCTGCAAGCCCCGTGATGGATGTGGCACACGCCAAGGTCGTGACTTTCCCTCAGCATCTTTTCTGGTGGCCTCTTGGGCACTGGGCCAAGGGGCCCTTGTCCAGGGGCCCACAGGCCAGGCTTGACCAGGCAGGGGAGCACTGGGGAAGCCAGAGGCAGAGGGCCGGGCCAGCCGTCCTGTGAGTCCCAGGGCAAGTGAGGACAGGTGTGCCAGCTCTGCACATCTAAGCTGCCCTCCCTGGGCTGTTCTGTGGGCAGCAGGGTGAAGAGCTTGGGCCAAGGTGTGACCTAGAGGCCTAGTGGAGTACAGCTGGGCTCATGGGGGAATCGGGTTCCCTGTCGGGCTGGCAGGGGGCTCTTATAAAGAAGATTGTTCAATCTTCTTTAAAGATTGAACAATGAAATGTGCGTCTTAAGAAAAACAAGCAAATTTTTCTAAATACAAATGCCATTCTCGGTTGTGGTTTCTTCACTACAGGTGAATGTTTACGTGCTGGGGAAGACGTTCCTTCTCTTGGCGAGAGAGCTCTGTATCAACGCACCAGCAATAGGTACGGCTGGGGCAGCTGTGTGCACTGGTGGGGTCCAGGGCTTAGAGTGGGAGGGGGTCGTGTGCAAGAGCAAGGACCCCACAAAACGCATCTCCTAGGGAGCCACCGGGAGCCCAGCAGCATGGGGGTTATTTCTGGTTTAAAACCAGGTGAGTCCTCAGCAGGTGTAGACAGAGGGCAAGGGGGTGCTGCTGTGTGTGAGGACCATCTGTCCACCTCTTGAGGAGTATACTTGGCACAGGTTTGAAGGCAGAACCTCTGCACAGACTGTGGGTGCTCTCCTGGCCTTGGTCGGCCTTTATCGGAGCTTTTCCAAGAGGCCTGTTTCCCTAGTTTGCTCAGAGGGGCCACTCCCTACTTTGCTCACCAGCGTGTAAAAGTGTATTTCCTCATATTAAGGAGGCGGCATGTGGGGCCAGGGAGGGTGGGCTGGGGGTGCAGTCCTGAATCACCCACAGGATAGTCCCCTGGGGCTGGGAAGGCAGGGTCCTGCAGGGTGGGCTGGGGCCCTGGGCCCAGCACAGTGTGCCCCACACCCCCACCGCCTTGAATGCGAGTCATATAGTAGGGCTTTGTCTGAGTGGCTAGTGATGCTTTAGGAGGTACAAACACAACCAGACACCTGGCCTTTTCCAGAGTGTTCCAGCTGCAGACCCAGAAGGCAAGCTGCCCAGATGCCCGCCAGCCTGCTGGCGGAGGGCAGGCCTGGAGACAGATGGGCCTCCCTGGGACACAGTTTGCTTTAACCACTCTGCATTGTTAGTGCTATGGGCCGCCTTCTGTGATGGCAGGGAGGAGTATGAGAAATCAAACACCCCAGTTTCAGACTCCTGTAGTCATTTATCTACATGTGGCTCTTATTTTATTAAAACTTTATTATGAAAACCCACTTAAGTAGATGAACTGTTTTAGGTGACTTTCCCCCAATTTTGGATATGAAGAGAAAGTCTTAAGTTAAGCTTAGAACCACTTAGAATAGAATCCAAGAAGGTGGGAGGGACAGCAAAGCCCGCAAAGCAGGCGGCGCAGGTGCCACTGGGAGGGGATCTGGGACCTGCCTTGTGCCTCCCAAATCTGCCCTCCACCTGAGACGTGCGCCCCAAATACAGGAGATGAGATGCCTGTGAGGCCCAGCGGCCAAGATTCAGAAACTGATGCCCTGGCTGTGTAGAAAAGTGTCTATGCCACAGCCTGGCGCTACATGACTAATAAAAAAGAGATACAAAGAAATGGAAGCCTTTAATAACAGTGACAGCCTTTAAGGCAGTCAACTGCAAAGTAAAGGGTAGCAGAGCGTCCTGCACTCCTGGCTGCAGAGAAAGGCCCCGCGGCACAGCCTTCCTGTGCCCCTCACAGCACAATCCACCACCCCGTGGTGGCTCAGGCGTAGAAGATGAGCTCAGGGATCTGCCCACCCTGGACCCCGGTCCCATTGGTGCTGTCTGAAGAGCACTGGAACTGGAAGGTCACCTTCCCACACTGCACTTCTGTCATGCCCTCCTGCCCAAAGTAGCTGAGTTCGCTGCCGTCCAGGACGGCACTGGCCGTGTAGAAGGTGTCCTGCTCGACTTGCACGGGGTGTTCAAACCAGACCGAGAAGGTGTTGCTGGAGCCGTCCGAGACAAACTTGGTCAGGTTCTGAGCCAGGACCACTCCCAGCCGCTTGAGTTCAATCTTCACGCTGTACTCGGCTTTCCCAGAGCTGGACCCGTATAAGCCCAGCCCCGCGATGAATACCCTTCTGTCCACGGCAAACTGGATGCTGTCGCAGCGCCCTCGGTAGCGCCACTGGTTGCTGCGGTAGGCAGAAGACTGGAAACGGTGGCACCTCTGTGGGGCGAGACCCTTCCTCTTGGTCAGGGGGAAGTCGAGGAGGGGCTTGTTGGCTGCTGTGTACCACAGGAAGATGTTGTGGGTCTCCTCCAGCGTCAGGATGTCCGACTGGGCAGCACCATTGGCAAATTCCTCCAAGGTCATGGTTGGAATTCGGACCAGATAGAGGGCTGGCCCCAAAACGTGCCTCTTGTTGCGAGGGGTGACCGGCAGGCCCTGCCTCTTGCACTCTGCCTCGGCCCAGTTCAGCACGGCTTCAAAAACCACTGCCTCCTTGGTGTTGAGGGCCTCCCGGGTCACGATGATTTCCAGTGTCTGCCAGTCAATTTCACAGAAGCCTTCAGACCTCAGGGCCATCTCAGCCTGTGCATCAATGACCTCCCAGCAGCGCTGGGTCAGCTCGGGCTCTTCAAACAGCCGGCTCTGGGACAGCAGGACACAGGCGTTTTTGGCTTCCAGGCTTGTCTCCAGAAAGTTGACGCAGGCTTTTGCTAACGCGGGGACAATGTACTTCTTGGCAGCATAGAGCGTGGCCAGCACTGTGTCGGCTTCCAGATCGATCTCGTCACTGTACATGTACCTAGACAGGAAAGGGACCACATCACAGGCTGCATGGGGCACGCAGGGCACCCAGGGCCTAAAAGACAAGCCCATCAGTCTTTGTGGACTTCCCCTCGGAAGCTGCAGGATGCTGGCTGGGGGCAACCAGGCAGCAAGGAACCACCCCATCCCTTGCACGCTAATGGAGCCGACTTACTTTAACAAGATCAGAAAAGCTGCAGGCTCCACGTCGGGGATGTGGATTTCTGACTTGACTTCTGCCAGGTCCCCATAAAACATGGCATAGAAGACAGAGCTACCAACGGCCAAGACGTACTGTGGATGAGAGAGCGCTGCCCTAAGCCCCTGGTCCTCCCTGCCCCCGGCGGCTGCCACACCCCGGGGAGAGCACCGTACATACTCAGGAGATGGCTGGTCCCTTCGGGAGCTCAAAGGGCCCAGCCACTACCAACCTTGTGAGCAGGCACCCTCTGGGCCGCGCCCAGGGGCCCCACAATGAAATGGACGTCAGCCATGAGCTCGTTGTTGAACATCAGCGCGTTCCTGCAAAGGGTAGAAGCACACGGCTCGGGGCTCGGGGCGCGGGGGCTGGAGCCGGGGCCGAGCAGGGGTGCGGACGTGGGGCGGAGGGCTGGGGCCGGGCTCACCTCTCGCGCAGGGTCGGGTGGAAGGACTGCCAGTTGGGGCTCTCCAAGTTGTTGTTGTCCGGCGCGGGCGGCGCGGGCGCGGGCGGCG